GAACGTCAAAATCAATAATGAATAACATGTTCAGTTGATACACAGGAGAAATCAAAAATTATTCGAAACATGTGTTAATAAGAAAAAGCCGGTTGCAATTTGCTGAACAGAAGAAACTCGCGTTATCGGGATTAAATCATTCATCAACAGAAGTCATTATACCATTTTATAGTCAGAATTCGAAACAGGTTCTGGAAAATGAGAAAAAATTATGAGACTTTACAGAAATCTGATCATTTAGAAGTTTATCGAAGAAATTTTGTGAAACGTAGTATTGCTTTCACATCACACCTGCTTTTTGATCACCCCATGTATATGATAACATTAGTAAGGTCGCTGGCAACTAATATAAAACGTCATGTTAGATTTGAGCATCCTTGTCTGAGCCGTTAACTTTCCAAGTTGTTTTTGCATTATTAACCTGTCTAGTAAATATTACCTGATTCGGAATAACCATGTGTTTACGTAGGCATGTGGGAAAAGTAATTATAACACATGCCTTGATTTTTATAGTTCCGGTCACTAATTATCTGCAATATCAGATCGCAGCACTATTTGATATGAACTATGCAAGCATGAAAGGTTACAGATTCGTTTATCGATACGAGTGTCATTCATAGTTGGATATTCAAATAGGTAACTTAGTTTTCCTCATCTACGTTTTCCTGTTTTGATTTATTCATAAATATCCTATGCAATTATGCAAAACAAAGAGTGCTCATTTATTTCCATCTGGAAATCCTTAATATTCTACCTTGTAGCTAAATACTACTGTGAGAGGAAGATAATTTTTTAAAAATCATTACAATCTAGATCTTATTTTTATACGTTACTTACTTCAGGTCGCCAGGAATTTCGGTTGCCTGAAAGATTTACTGAATGCTAAGAATTAAAAATCAGTCGTAAGTGTAGTTCAACCAAAAATATTCGCCATTCGATTCAATGATATATAACACACCTGATATGTTCATGTGTTCCTCTGTCTAATATTTTTCTGGCCCAAACATAAATCTTGGAATTATTATATTTAGGTCATTATAAAACTTCCATGATTAAACATAATATCCTCTCTCAATTATTAGGCCTCTTTTATGCACGTGGTTTTAGTCGTTAGTCGCGTTGCGACAAAAATCACGGCGTTTGTAAATGAAATGAAGAAAATAATTGTGATCAAATCTCGTCACGTAGTAGCTTGAAATTTGTTGAAATGGATCAATGTATGATTTGATATTTTCCTACAAAAAATAAGAGCTTTTTGAGAAAAATGGATCCATGTATGGTACATTTTATTTACAAACATGATTAAAAAGACGTTATTCACTGTATTGTGTAAGAATCATTAGGGGTGCACCCTATACACTCCATTTTAAATTAAGACGAGGCAATATCGCGAAGCAAGAGACGATCAAAATCGCGTGCATAGAAATAGTATTAGGGTACTTTCACAGTGGACCCAAAAGTATTTTTACATAATAGCCAGGCCTTAGTATTGATGTCATATTTTGACCTATCACGATAGTCGCATATAACTGATCACACCCTACAATAATTATCATTTTTTTCTATAATACCTTCATCATTATGTTTTGGTTGAATTGCAAATGTTTCAAAAACTACTAAATCGTATTACGGTTAAAAAGTTTCAACACAAAATTAATGACGTTTTGGGAATTGTGGCTTCCGAAAAATCTCATAGAGATATAACTAACTTCAAATGTTAGTTGTAATATTGGTGCATATTCTAGAAAGGAGAGGAGGGATACTACGTTCATAATACAGATCAAGTCGATAAAAATGATATGAATGTCGTATATTCATTTAAAAGATGATATTAGTATATTATGCAACGATCATGTAATGATGGTTATTAAGACACGAGCATTAACCGGGATACAAAACGAGCCGAAGGCGAGTTTTGTATGGTACATGCGAGTGTATTAATAACCATTACATGATAGTTGCATACGCTATTTTTTCTAAACCTGATAAATAATGAAAAACTATAAATATTATATTTGTATTGAACACATTTACAGTAATTAACTCATATTTTTTCAAAAAAACACAAACTTAATGATATTATCATGGATATATGAAAACTATAAAGATTCTAATTATATTTATATTGAATATAACAACTGTAATTAATCTGATCTTTTAAAAATATTGGAGTCGATGGTATTCCTTCTATATCGCTGTTTTCAGACATTTTGATAATATAGGTAGGTAATATGAAAACTGATTTTGACAAATAAAGCAATTAGTTACTTAGGTTAGAATCTAGGACAAACAGAGGAACAGGATTCTTGATTGAAAAATTATGGGTTTCTATTGGTTGATAATCTGTATCGTTATGAAAAATCTGTATCATAATGGATATCATTATGAAACGGATTATGGTCATATAAGTGTATTGTTAGAGTACGGGTGTAGAAAAAATCTGTTTATATTAAGTTGTTGAACGTCTTGTAATACTAGTCGTGTTCACAACTGTCATTGCTGACATTTGCTTGTTGATTACCATTTCAAATTTGAAGGTGACATAAAAACCTTGATGAATTTAAGATTGATTTTTTTTGCTATTCTTTCAAAATTATTCTTTCAACCTTGGAAGAATAGTTTTGCTCAGGTTCACTTAAGCATTGTCATCGGCTGGTACTTCACATATACGAATGAATCAACTGTCAACTGCAATTTTGATAGTTCTCCATGGTCGGCGTTTTTCCCCATCAAGAAACAACAGGTTTTTTTTTAAATTGACTATCATTTTAGTATGTGAAATATTGTTTTTCGTTAACGTCCTGATGTTATACCTGCTGTTTAACCTGACATACACTATAAGTTGTTTTGACTGATCTCTCTTTATGGATCTAAACATTTCTTTCACCGTATTGTAGTATCCCTGATGATGATCTGTTAAAAAATCTGTTGAAATCTTGTTTTCGGTTAACCAGCTGTCGCTCTCCTACGATCGACTATTCTACAAAGTCGAAATTTGTGTGGGCAGAGGACTAACAAGGTCCCACCTTTTTTACGTGTAATTCCTAACACGGGTTGGACGATATATAGTGAAAATCGATTGTCTGTCCTCGCAGTTTGAACTACTGGTTCATACAACGATCGATTGAGTGTGTCGAGCAAAGCACCCACGGTAACACCAGGCCGCAGTTTATTGTTGTATAAATTCTCTTGGAACAGTTGGTTTCTTGGAAAATTCGAAAAAGTGTTGAGAGCATGGTCAAAGAAGAATTTGATGTATTTTACAGTAACTCACTTCATACAAACTTATCAGGAGTTGCCTAGTACAAACAAGGGCGGATCCAAGGGGGTGTAATGTGGGTCATGATCCCCCCTTGGGCTGGGTCCAGGACCTAGGTGGACCACTAATTATAATTGTTAAACATAATGCTTTTATTCAAGTACTTTCAATATTTAAATAATTTAATAAAATACTTTGTTTGATGGCAAACGCATTATTCGGGAACGAACGCATCGAAAATTTGAATTTTACCGCGCAACCGCCACCCTTCATATGTCACACTCTACACCTGATTTTGTTATTCAAATGTAGGCTTATATATTTAAGTACAGTACTTACATTTATTATCAAAATACATACTTTTTAGTTGTATCTATCATTATCAAAATCAAATTATAGGTTCTTCTGACTTGACCACGACTATATAACCCCCCTGGCGCCAAAGCAGGATCCGTCCTTGAGTATAAAACATTCAATACAAACGTATTTGATTTGAATAGATTCCGTCGTTTCATTTTGTTCAAATTTTATACTGATATTCGCAGGAACCATTCGCGAATAATCGTTCTCAAATCACTAGACCATCAAGTGATTATACAATATAGACTGATTTGAGTCCTAAATTATTAGTTTCTACTTATGCATTATGAATATTAATGTTCGTAATAATATTATTGCACCATTGTTATCAACTTCGGAAGAACAATTCATTATAATGGTGGTGGCCTGGAGTATATTCGCATAATTATCTATTTGGTGTTCTTGGGTCTTTTTCTTTAAGGCAAATGACCAGCTCATGACGTAACTGACTTTGTTTTGTCCGCAATCACCAATTTTTCAAGCATCACTGAAGCACTGAAAATACTATCATATCATTTCTGCAATAGTAAGCTGTTAATGATAGATAATGATGATGATTTTACGGGTGGATTGAGGCCCCAGTTTGCCCAATCACTGTAATGGATTTTTTATTCATAAATGGTATTAATACTTCTTTCATAAACTACACCTTACGATTTGATCTCCACAAACTTTATTTTCAAAAATATATGACATGTTTCGCTAACACAGTAATGGATTTTTTATTCATAAATGGTATTAATACTTCTTTCATAAACTACACCTTACGATTTGATCTCCACAAATTTCATTTTCAAAAATATATGACATGTTTCGCTAACACAGTAGCTTCTTCAATAGTTATTTGAAGAAGTTTGTGGAGATCAAATCATAAGGTGTAGTTTATGAAATTACTATGGATCTTCATCAAGTAACGGCCGAATCAATCAGAAAAAATGGTATTAATGCTTTTGTAGGAACAATTTAATGAATTACAGAAAAAACACGAAGATATCCCTCATGCTGATATTGACATATAACCAATGCGATATAAAAATACAAAACATGAATTGTAAGAACTGACGTCATTGTTATTATGCTATGCATCACATTGTTTTTATGCTGCGATACAAATTTTCCTAACCATCGAAAGTTACTTCAGAATTCTTCTGTAGAAAATATTTCATCTCAGTCGAACGTAAAAATGGTTTTTCCTCAGTTTACCACCTCGTTTAATGTGTTTCCTGTTATTTTAAACAACAATTGTCGATATAATCGTAATATGCAGGTTATACCTTCTCAAGGCTGTTAAACTTAGCATGAAATCATTCCTCTACACATTACGCAAGTAAGTAAAAAGTCAGTGCGCTCAAAACTCCAATAGTGAAGGAACTTCGTGCGGTGCATTCCAATCGCGATCCAAATGGCCAATTTGACCGAGTTAACGTGCAGAAGTGACGGTCTGTGATTAATGATATTTGTGTGAAATTTTTTACAGACGGAATACGAAATGGACCCCCAAGCAAACAGAAGGTTTTCGCTAGCCCTCCCGGTTTCCCTGGCTCCGAAACAACGGAGGATGTCGGTCAGAAGCTTCTACTGGGTCATGGTCAATCCTATGGTAAATTATTTGTCGTTTGGAGTAGAGTTCTTGTGATAAGAATCTGGAGTGATGATGACAAACTGTTATTTTATCAAACGTGAAGGCGTAGTCCAGAAATACTGGCGATGCACACGCCAATCTACTGATAAAATTGTCGCTGCTCAAATTTCCATTGGTCTTCTTTATTCTTTTTTTTATTCAAAACCATTACTCTTTATCATAATATTCAGTCGGTGCGTGTCCCATTGCGTTTAATAAAGTTTAAGGTAGATGTGTGAGCCCAAAACAAGAACATCATCCAAAAAGCAGAACTGCAACTCTCTCCTCGACGCACATTTCACCAACCAAGTTAGTTTTTCGGGAGAAGTGCTTATTTTGGATTAATTGTACGCCAGAGGTCCCACCTCTACTTTTCAAGAAGGTGTGGAAGTCATCAAAAAATTAAATGTCATATATTGACATTATAATATCCCGCAAACTGTCAAAGCTATGATAAAATCAAGCCGTGGAAAAGGGCTACCATGCTTTTTGATTCAACTAACAATTTCACAAAAAGCAGATCAATATTTTGTAAATGCAACCGATACAAAATTTTAGATTGACACTAGTTATAATGATGATGAACTATATTCAATGTATATTTATGTTATCTGCATATTCAACTATACTCAAATAATATCGTTCATGAAGAAAAAATAATTGAAAACTTCATATATTTTTCACCATTGTTATTCATAACTGACGTTACTGCAGTTTGTCCTATAAGGACATTTTCAAACTTATACATTTAACATTTCTTCATTATGATTTCCTACCGCGTTGTAACGACTACATCCATTAATTTATTAATAGTTTTCATCTTGCGACCATTCACAACTACTGTTTTGGGCAATCGATATCAATGAAAACATTATATAGATCATGAAAACCTCAAAATTGTGGAAGACAACGTACTTATCTTTTTTCTGATCAAATTCAACTTGACAACAATTTTTTCATAAGTAGTTATATATTACCTCAGTGAAAATTTAGATTGATACAAAATATAAGCTATACTGAAAATTAAATCAGAGAGTCGGGTATTTGTACTAGAAATAAGTGTCTGATTCAAAAAATATGATTTCTGTTAAAAACGGATAAGAATAAAAATCGTGGAGGAATCCACAAGCATATTAATAGTTCCCAAAGTATTTTAATATTCAAAAAATTTGAAGTTTCTCGAACAAACGATGATATCGAAACAAAAAGTATGATATCTTCAATAGTCTTCTATTATATAACAAAAAAGGAAGTAGTTACTGACTTTTTACAATTGAAAAATGCATCTCCGCAATCTGTTCAGACTTTTCAGAATAAATAAAGATCGAGTAACCGTTACAGCAGAATCTGAAGTTATAGCAGAAATTGTCTTGGACTATTCGTAAGTAGCAAGTAAAGTGACTTTGAAAGTACTAAATTACTATTGAGTTAGTTGGCTGTTAATTGGGGAAATAATCTATAGATCGTAAGATCCTTTTCCGTTTTACTCTATTCAGACTATCATCACTTGATGATATTTTCTATAATTGGAAAAAACAAACAGTTAGCTCAATAATTCTGATAGTCCTCCATGAAGTGAAATATATCGAGAAGCAAAAAAGACATTATTAATCATGATTCCCAAAATTTCTNAGTAGGATGGAAAATATTTCTGAAGTTAGGCTTCAGTTTTATCTCTATAGCTTTGAGAAATAGTTTGGAAATATTTCAGTTATCTGTGAAGTAAAAAAGAAGATATATTTTGAATTTGGTGTTTTTTGAATTCAATAATATAATGCAAGTAATATTGTTAAGTCTGTGCTTTGTCAGAAATGCGAAAACGTTTTTCAGACATTCAGAATCATCATCAATTGATATCTCAAACAAATCACAAATACAGTACAGTCATTATAGATTCCACATGTCGTTTATAAATATGGCAATGTAAAAATATTTACAAAATTTCTTTCATTCAATAAAATCAAACACAGCACTACAAAACATTTGTAAAACTTTTCTCGAAATTCTACAATTTGCAAGAAAATGCTTCTTGAAAATATTTGTTAGTTTTCGCCATATATTTTTCCAACAAACCTCTCAAACTCTTTCAAAACTTTGTAAATCCATGTATTTTTTACTCATATAATGGAAATACAGAGAAAATTAAATATGAATTGACTAATTATAAAACTGTTTGAATGAATTTCCAATTCATATGATTTTTTTCAAGTTCATATTCATTTCATTTCAAAATATACCTCAAAATAAAAAAATATCTAGACATCATGGTGAAGAAACTACAAGTTAATGACTATTTGAAATGAGACTATTCAAATTGACAACTGCAGAAAATATACCTTTCGGAACAGAAATATTCAAATAGGAGTAATCGATTGAATTCGAAAAAATTCCTTTGCGTAGAATGAACAAATTGCAATTTGTAATCGTTCAAAATTTATGAAACTCAGATATTTGAATAACATGTTTGAAGTGTGTGTTGTTAGGTAACCTTCGTAACAGGCACCATTAGTCTGCCATTCGACTAATCTACTCAGTTTTCAGAGTATCCTATATTTGGAATCTTCTGCCATTATACCTACTTACAATATACAGGGGGTTCCAACGAAAATTTGAACCCTCCTGTAAGTCAGAAACGGACGTGTTCACGGACATATAATACGTTTTTGTGCTATAAAAAACACAAGACGATGAAGTTGATGTTGCTCAGAAGGTCAAGCCATATCGTAGTCTACTTTCTACCTGTGCATAATAGAGCTGCAACAACTGATCAGGATTCAGAATTCCTTTTATATTCCTAAATTGAAAGGCAACTGTGTGGAGCTTAGAAACAAGAGATGGTTGTCAACATTTAATCCCAGAAATTTCGTTCTTGTGACATTAGTGGAGATCATATTCAGAAAAGAACGATTTGCCGAGAACCAATTATTAACTGCGGATAAAGTTTCCTCACAGTTTTCCGTTATAGAACTTTCTCGGGTATTGTAAATTATAAGTGAGGTGTCATCTGCGTACATAGTGAAGGATGCTGGCACATGGAGCTTATCTATGTCATTGATGTAAATTATGAATAGAAGAGGACCAAGTACTGACCCTTGTGGGACACCCAAGTCGTTTTCCTGGTACCCAGATGACTCCTTTTTAATTGAGACATACTGCCATCTTTCACAAAGATATTACCGTATCCAATCCAGAGGTGTGTACCCCTCACAACATAGTGATAGAGTTTATCCAAAAGAATTCTGTGATTTACACAGTCCAATCATTATAGGATAAAAGTGCGTAATATGGAACACATACCCGAAACTTCACCCTCCTGCGGTCAGCAACGAACCCCCCCCCTATTTTTTTCAATGGCATGGGAGGTCGATTGATACATTATTTGAAAGGACTTTTTCCCTCTACTACTTCTGTCTGTGATTGTTTTCGAAAATGGTTCATTCGTTATTGAGATATTAAATGTTGAATTTTTCATTTGAGAAAAAACAGAGAATTCGTTGTCGTTCATTGTAGTGAGAAAATCAACAAATAATATCAGTAGAAACAAAATCAACGGATAAATTGTTCAAAATGACCGCCACCTAGTGCCATAGAATAATATAGTCTACTCTCGAAAGCGTCCCGTACATTATTCAAGATGTCCGGAGTCAGCAATCGGCATTTCCGAACAATGATATGTCGCAGGTCTTCTAGATTTGTAGGAATAGTGTGAGATCAGGTTATTTAGCTGGCCACTCCACTGGACTACCGATCCAACGCATTGGAAAACGTTCGTCCAAAAACTATCTCACCCGAACATCAAAATGTGGGGTGCACCATTCTGTTATTTCATTTTCTACTAAATTGTCATCATTTTCTGAAATTTGTGTAATCATAGGATCTACACAGTCTTGTAATGTATTTGGGTACGTGTCTCCATTGAGATTACCTTCAATGAAGAATGGTCCAATAATATGATTACCAAGAATGCCAGCCCAGACATTAAATTTTTGTGGAGTTTGTGAATGAGTTTTCATCACCAAATGAGGATTCACATCACTACAGTAACGACAATTATGTCTATTCACTTTACCATTCAACATGAAAGAACTTTCGTCATGTATTGCATAATAGATTTGGTTTATTGGTCAATTTTTCGCTGAAAACCTCACAAAACTGAAGTCGACCATCAGGATCATCTTCGTTTAATTCCTGAACTAGCCTTATTTAGAAAGGATGGAATTTGGCTTTTCAAAATCCGAAAAACACCAGATACACCAGATACTCTAGCTACCTGTCTGATAGATTGTCGATTATCCATTTGTTGATGTCCTAAAACTGCAACTTCAGCTACGTCAATTCTGACGGGGCTGGATACTTCATGTTTTCTGTTGTGAATAGAACCTGAAGTTCGAAATGTATCCATTAACTTATCGATGTATTGATGGCTTACGTTGTGGTCTGGATGATTCGTATTATAAATTCTTACAGTAGCTTCAGCACATTCATTATTTCGACAATAGGTTGCAACAATTTCTATTCTTCAGTAAAATAAACCATGTTGGAATACAGTGAACAAGAATGACTGAATAATAATTCGTGAAGAAGTGACAGGGGCCAACTATCTACTTTTTGTTCTGAAACAACTAGATTCAACAAAAACTACCAGTGCAGAAAAAACCAACAACAATCAGTAGCAAAACGTTTGCTACTGATTAAGTAAATTCTACAAATCTGGAAGACCTGCGACAGAAAATTGTTCGGGAATGCCGATTTCTGACTCCGGACATCTTCAATAATGTAAGGAACGCTTTCGAAAGTAGACTGTATTATTGTATGGAACTAGATGGAGGTCATTTTTTTGAACACTTCATCTGTTGATTGTGTTGCCATTGATATTACTTTCGTTGATTTTCTCAATAAAATATGCGACAGCGAATTTTCTGTTTTTTCATAAATGAAACGTTCAACATTCAATATCTCAATAACGAATGAACCGATTT